GAAGAGCTGAGGGACAGCACCCAGGCCCAGAGTTCAGGCCCTACAACCGGACCCAAAAACAAAACAAAAAAAAAGAAAATCTAGTTGTATGTACACACATTGGGCCAAGCCTCCATCAGGTGGCTCTCTAAAGCATATTCCCTCCAGCTTTAAACACATATATTATAAGGATGATTCCAATGTTCTTTCTTTCTAGTAACCAATGTGTGAGTCTAGATTACTTTGTTTAATTGGATCTTATCATGCTGCTTCATATTTACTTGATTTTTCCCAACTGGTTATTGTTAATCAATGCTATACATTCTTTTTTTATTGTGAAAATACTGTACAGAGGGGTTACAATTACATGGGCAAGATAATGAGTACATTTCTTATCAAGCATTGTAGCCTCCTCCTTTGTTTCCCCTTCCCATCCCTTCCCATCCTCCCCCTGCCCCACCACCCAATCCTCCCTGTTCCCCCTCCCCTTCTTTCTTTCTTTCTTTCTTCTTTCTTTCTTTCTTCTTTTGTTGGTCGTGAGGCCTGAACTCTGGGCCTGGGTGCTGTCCTTAAGCTCTTCAGCTCAAGGCAAGTGTCCTACCATAATATTATGTCTGGTTTTCTGGTGGTTAATTGGAGATAAGAGTCTCACAGACTTTCCTGTCCTGGCTGGTTTTGAACAGAGATCCCTAGATGTCAGCCTCTTGAGTAGATAGGATTATAGGTGTGAGCCACATGTGTCCAGCTGCTTCTATTGATTTTAAATGAATGTGTGATCAGTTTAGTTACAGCTACATTATCTGATGGTTTAATACCTATAGAATTTCCAACTAGCAAACTATGGATGGTAGAATCTAAAGAAAAATATGGGGTCTCAATGCTGACTAAAAATTGAAAACACTCATAGAAATGATAGAAGTTGAAAGAATCACATTAAAAGGTACAAGCTGTTTGGATTTTACAAGAAGATTTGGAAACAATTTTGCCCAAAGAGTTTATAGGAATTATGAACTCACCTAACTGAATAATTTATTCATGGAAGCATAAAGCAGCAGCAATAGAATGCAGATCTTGGAGTCTTTTTGACTTTGAGGTCTAAACAATGATAACATGCAATAAGGAAACAAGTGTTTTGTAAATATGTGTTTAATCAACCTGTCTTTATTTCACCTATGGACTAATTTCTGTATGTTGCATTAATGTAGTGCAAATTTAATATGTAATTTGGTAAATATTATGTCATATTTCTAAATCACTTAGATATTTTTAATGAAATTGATTAGAAAACTACTGCTAGCATGACCAAGACATTTTCAAAAGTGAGATTAAATAAATATGATATGAGCATGGCAAAAGTATACATACAACTAGACCAGAGAGGTAAATGACAAAACTGATCATAGTATACATAATACAGGAATGTTCTTGACAATGAACAGGGAATAAAAACACACATGCAAACTGAATCCATTGAGTGAGACGTGTTGTCCTCATGATTGACATGTCGAATTGAAACTCCTTAAAGATAGTAAGTAAATAAATAGTAAGTAAATACAAAGAATGAATCTTAAAATCTCCTGGTAACTATTAAGAGCAATTTTGAATCAGTTGAGATTTTCATTTGTGCTAACCTGGGGCTTGAACTAAGGGCTTGGACACTGTCTCTGAGCAGTTTTTCTCAAGGCTAGTACTCTACCATGTAAGCCAAAGATTGACTTCTGGCTATTTTCCTCAAAACTCAACCTCCTAAGTTGCTAGGATGACAAGCCTTTGTCAAAGGCACCTGGCCGAAGAATTTTTTTTATCAAATAGTGAACTTTGATATAAAAAAATATGGTAACTTCTGCACCTTGGGCATTCCTCATAATTGAGCACACATTATTGTATTATTCTCCTAATTCCTGCATACAATGAAGTCAAGATACATTTCTGGAACTAGATGTTATGGATAATATGTCTTGATGGTGAAAACTAAAGAAGAATTTTAGAAATATATTTGTTGGTTTCCATATAGTGTTTATTGATAGATATATAGATTCTGAGAGATTTTACCAAAGACTATGCTCAGTCAATTTATAAAACAATGAAGTTAAACAATGGTTAAAACACTAAACCTAAACAAAACAGATATCCTTAGCTCTTAAATACTTTGATTTGAAAAATAGTCTTTGAAATCATTTTCTTGATTTTTATGAAGATTATCAGTGAAACTCATTAAATGCAAAACACATTTCGTTCATATATTTTCCAAATGCTATCTAGACTGCTTATCAATTTTATATTCCATCAAGAGGCTAACTGTAAATTTTAGCATGCTCAAGTCTATGAATTGCTACTGACCAAAGGAAATGAAAAGATCTTACCTGTCACATGCTCTGTAAACTTATGTATAATCTTGCTTAAAAAGAAATGTTACTTGCTTCCTTCAATATTGAAAATTTTGCAATGAATATGTATCACTTATTGATTTCCTCAAAGCATTTCAAGTCACGTAATGATACTTTCAAATATATTAAAATGTAAGAGAGAATTTCATGTTCCTATATTATGACTCTCATTGATGTCTGTCCTAGGAAAGATGTTAAAATATTTACCTATTATTAAATATTTCAGAACTTAAGGCAAGAAAAATGTTCTGTTCACACACCTTTACTAAAACTAATTTATTTCTTTGATTTCACAAAAAGTTTAAATTATATCTGTATATTAAACTTACTTTCTCAAACAGATGAAATTCAATTTGGGTCTAAAAGATTAAAAATGTTGGATATTTTAGATCTTAATACTCTACACTATGAATTTATATAAAAGGCCTGATAAGCAAATAACTCATACACTGAAATGAACACATACATTTCAGATTGTAGCCTTCTAGTAGCTTCATAGTCTTATTATTGTTTTAGTTTGGATTCTAAAGTCAACTTTTGATCCAGGGCAAATTTCCTACTAAGGAAGGTTCTAAAGATGTCTACCACTACCAGAGGAAGTTCTCTGTGATACACTCTATAATTAAAGACAAAGACATCATGCATGTCTACAAATATATTCCAAAATTAAAATCACTCATTTGTATAATACAATTTTAAAATATACAATAAATAATTTTCACTTTAGGAAACTGGTGGATAGCTCAGTGGCAAAAGACACGCTTAAAATTCACAAGGACTTGAACGTCATCTTTGACACCAAACAGACAAAACGATTACCCTTTTTCACTTCTTCAGGGAATAGAAAGAAGGGACTATACTCATGTTTGGAAAATTCTTATGAAGGAGAATTTGTATATTTCACATGCCAGTAATGTGTCAGGATGCAAATCAGAAATCATTTGCTACTTCTGAGCCTCCAAGATGTAATTCTATGAATCTATCAGAAAGAGGGACATTAAAAAATCATATTAAGTGAAGTAAGACAGACCCCAAAGAAACATAGGTTCCATAATGTCCCCCATTTGTAATAATTAGTATATGTCTAGGATAGTTCCAGCAGAGGTTCACCATAGCTCAATAGCTGTATGCATATGAACAGATAAAATGAACTACAAAATATGGAAACAAGAGGTTTGTTTTAAATTGTACTCTGTGAAGTTACTTCTTTTTTTCTTTCATTTTTTCCTTTGGTTTATTCCCTGTTGTCACTGTTTTTTATTTTGTCCCTGTGTCTTATACATATGTTTATCTGATTTGGGGAAAGAAGGGGGAATAACAAAATGGTGAGACCAAGGACAAAGGTGAACCAATGCAACAGCCATACTCATAAGACACTAGGTTGGAAATGAACTTTACTATTGGAGGGTAGGGGAGCCAGGGAGGGAAAATGGGAGAAAATGAGGCAGGGGTTAACACTGACAAGAAATGTACTCATTTTCTTACTTACATAACTAAACCCTCTGTACCTCATCTTTACAATAAAATAGAATATATATTTTTTAAAGAGAATACGATCAAATTATCAAAGACATGCTGGTGTAGACCAGAAGCCTCATCAGGGGTGAGGTTCAGAGTTTACGGTATCACCCAACCTGATGGTAAAAGAAGTCCTCTCTATAAATAGGCAGAAGCATTACAGTAGCTTTAAAATGACCCATCAGAACACATGAGACCATTCCATAGAAGGGATAGTAGAGGAAAAACAAAGGAGGAGGTAACAATGCTCAACAGGAAATGTACTTATTGCCTTCCTCATGTAAATGTAACCCCTCTGTACACTATTTTTACAATAAAAATATAAGTAAAGGAAAACTACAAGGAAGAAAACTTAAGTTACTTAGGTTACAGCCAGCACAGGGTAGAAGATAGATTGTTGTGAAGATGGGAACCACAAATATCATATTTATAATCATATGATCCTATGGGACTAAGAAGAGGCTTAAACTTGGGCACATTTAAGTGTCTAAAACTATGCAATTAATCAAAATTTTTATACTATTCCGATCCTGTATGTAGACATGTTGGTTCTTTTAACCAAATTTCCTTTTACTCATTGGAAAGTTGTATCTTAGCTCTCCTGTTGAAGTTCCCTTGGTATGTGGTTTGATAAGAATGACCCTAGCCAGAGACCAATTGCTCATGTCTATAGTCTTAGCTACTCAGGAATCTCAGATCAAAGCCAGCCTAGACAGGCAAATCTGTAAGACAGTTACCTTCAATTATTAACAGGCAAGAGGCTAGAACTGGAGGTATGGCTCAAGTGGTACTGTGTCAGCCATGAGGGGAAAAAACAAAGAGAGTGTAAGACACTGAATTCAAGCCCCATTACTAGAAAAAAGTATCCTTTTCTAGCCCTAGAGTTGATGTGCCAATCAGAACATTCTATGTCCAGTCCCAACTATTAGATACAGTTTACTTGGCTCTTATAAGGCAAATACAGGCTTATGGAATGTATTTACTAGAATTGTTAGGCAATGTCAGGCCTCTGTGACCTTCTTGTGAACTACCTGGGTGATTCTGATCGACACCAACATGTCTTTGATAATTTGATATTCTCTTTTTCTTTTACAGTTGAATTGTATTGTCAAGGTAATGTGCAGAGGGGTTACAGTTACAAACATAAGGTAATGAGTACATTTCTTGTTAAACAGTGTTACTCCCTCCCTCGTTTTCTCCCACTTTCCCTCCTCCTAACTCCCCTCCCCGTACAAGCTGTAAGGTTCATTTCTAACATAGTGTCTTGCAAGTATCACTGTTGTGTGGGTTCACCCTTTGTACTTTGTCTCACCATTTTGTCAATCCCCTTCCTTTCCCCAAATCAGAGGCAGTAGGGCAAAGGTAGCACAGTAGGACCGAGCCAAGCAGTAAGGGAAGGAAGTGATGGAATGGAGCAAGAGATGGTGTGGATGAGGTGGTCTCACTCATAGTCAAACCATTGAAAAAAGATGGTGAATACAATTGCTAGACATTTGCCAACACATCTGTTTTGATTTCAACAGTTTAGATTTTACTCCAATGATATATGAAGTAGCCTTCATCTATATCCATGAGTCTTGTAGGACAGTCCTCTTCATCTTCTGATTAATAAAGGTTGTGGCCTGTAGGTTCTTATTTCTTTCAATTTTTTGCTATATTTCTAAGACTTGTGTTTATTTGGTAAGCGCTCTACCACTGAGCCACCTTCCCAGCCCACTTGTGTTTATTTGGTTGTAAGATGATTAAATGTTTCTGGCCATAACGTCTTCTATATGAACTCCTTGGTATGTGTCTTTATCTACTTTGACCTCAAGCTCTATCTAATATTCTAATTCCTTTCCTTTTGTTTGCATTTTCCTATAATAACTTGGAACATCCTTTTTTGTATATTAAATTTGTTGAATCAAATTTTCATGAGACTCTCATAGACAGTGCACAAGACTGAGTTTCAAACTCACCATGGGATAAATGCTTGGAATCTCAGCACTTGGAAAACGTAGGAAATTTATGAGTTTGAGAACAGCCTGGGTTACAGAGCAAGATGGAAGCCACCTTTCACAATATAGAGACAGTACTTTAAAAACAAAAAAAATCCTTGGGGCTGGGAAGGTGGCGCAGTGGTAGAGCGCTTGCCTTGCATGCATGAGGTCCTGGGTTCTATTCCTCAGCACCACATAAGCAAAAAGAAAAAAACCGAAAGTGGCGCTGTGGCTCAACTGGTAGAGTGCTAGCCTTGAGCTGAAGAGCTGAGGGACAGCACCCAGGCCCAGAGTTCAGACCCCACAACTGGACCCCCCCAAAAAATCCACCAGAAAAAGTTAAGTTGTGTCATGTGATATAAGCTTGGAATGCATGTGGCTGTGTTTATATATTACATTTTTCTATTTCCAATAACTTCATTATCTTCTTATTGTCTTATTGTTGTTATTTTCTTCTTCTTTCTGATTTTTATTTGATCATGATTTAAGGTATTTTTGAAATATTGTTGGGTTCTGCTTGTTAACATTCCATTGAATATTTTTGCATGAATAATCAGACTCTGTGTCTATATATACATATATATAAATATATACATATATTATATATTATATTACTACCCCAAAATAATTAGAAAGCATTCCTTTCCTTCAACTTACCAGATGAGACTGTGAGACCTTTTTTTTTTTTTTACCATCAGGTAGAAATCTCTAATGAAACTATTTAAATTTGGAGGTTCCTGAAACTTATAACAAATTTAATTTCCTGAAGCGCTCTAGGGTGTTGTACATTATCTAGTTGATATTGTATGAGTTTTAATAGAGTTTGTTTATTGATAAATCTGTTCATTTTTTTCAAATTTATGAGTGTCAGGTTCATAATATTTTTATATTCTTTTTATATAGTCTACCATGATACTGCTTCATTTAATGCTATTAATTTATGTTCGTCTTACATTTTATCAATATTGTTAAAGGTTTCTCTACCTTTGTTATTAAAAGTTAGGGAGTTGACTAGACATACTAACAATTAAATGTGTCTTACTCTATCTCTATTTCTTTTTCAGTTATATTGGTCAATTGTTACAAAGGGGCTGTAAGAAAGGCTTGGAACTTGCTTTGAACCTACCAGTGTATCAGATAGTCATACTTTTTTTTTTATTTTAGTACCCAAATAAGAATAGGAGAGTGAGTAGTGACCCCTTGAGACTGTTGAAGTTATTCATTGTCCTCAGAATCATGGATACATCAAGCAGTGCAAGAAGGTGAACCAACATTCCACATCTCTTCACCAAGTAAGTATGTGCAGTTAGGTAGACAAGGAAATAATGTACTTGTTAAATTACTGGATCTTTTATGGATTTTGTTCATTATAAATAAGTTTAGTATTCATTTTGAGTACAACATAAAATATATTTTATAGGTTAGTAATCCTAGCTCTTCAGGAGGCTGAGATCTGAGGATCTTGGTTCAAAGCCAGCCCAGACAGGAAAATCCATCAGACTCTGATCTTCAATTAACCACCAAAAGCCAGAGGTAGAACTATAGCTAAGAGGGTGGATGCTAACTTTGACCAATAAAGCTCAAAGAGAGTGCCCAGACCCTGAATTCATACTCCAGGAACAACACAAATGTGTATACACACATATATACACATACATATGCACATATGTATGTGATTATATAGGTATATGTGTGTATTCTATTACATGAATGTTTTTCCAATGAAAATATAGGGTTTTTTGTTGTTGTTGGTGGTGGTCGTGGGGCCTGAACTCTGGGCCTAGGCGCTGTCCCACAGCTCTTCAGCTCAAAGCTATCAGCTCTTCAGCTCAAGGCTAGCACCCTACCACTTGAGCCACAGCACCACTTGCATCCTTTTCTGCTTATGTGTTGCTGAGGAATCGAACTCAGTGCCTCATGCACATGAGACAAGCATTCTACCACTAAGCCAACTTCCCAGCCCCCAAATACAGTTTTTATTGTGTAAACTCTATATATTCTCTAAGTAATTTAAATGTGTGGCAATTTCAAGGTAGCTGGCCTAATTAAAGACTTGTAGTTCTGCTAATTGCCCATGATATCATCTACTTAAAAGACATTAAAGTCTCTACTAGACAATAGCAGCATAAGAAATATTAATACAAAAAATCAGCAACTTCCTGTATACTAATAACAAACTTGCCATAAAGGAATTGCATTTATAAAAGACTCAAAATTAAAATGAAATACCCAGGGACAAACCTGAATGGGGAAAGGGAAATGAAACATTTCTACAATGAAAATTATAAGAAGTTACTAGAAGATGAAACTGCCTACCATATTTGTGGGTTGTCAAAATTAATATTTTGAAAAATGGATATATTACAGAAAGCAATCTACAGGTTCAAGGTAATCCTCCTCAAAATTTTAGTGATGTTTTCGCAGAACTAGATAAAATAATCTTAGAATTCAAAGAGGTACAAGCCGATGTAAGCTAAAAGAAAAACACTAGTGATATTGCAACACCTGACTTTATACTACATAGTCTCCCAGCAAAACAGCATGGTACAAGAACAAAAACAGACACATATACCAGTGAAAAATCATAGAAAATACAGAAACAAACCATTGCAAACCAGGCAGACACACATGATTCCTGACAAAAGTTGCAAAAACATAGGCTGGAGAAAAGACAGGCTACTAAATAAATGTGCTAGGACAATTGGATATCTACCAGACTGAAACTTGATCCTACTAGAGTAAAATATAAGAAAGATCTGTGAACCCTCTAGCCTCTTAGTATTGACACTTTATTCATATAGAGCAATTTGTTCACATTTTAAGAGTTTTGCCCAATACAGGTGGCCGATACATGTAATTGTCACTACACAGTAGACAAAGAGTTGGATGATAACAGTGTACAAGTTAAAGGCTAAGGGCCTGAGTTCAAGGCCCAAGTACTAGGGAAAAATAAGTTAAAGGGCTTTTTATTTTCATATAAAGTCATTAAGTAATGTCTATTTTTTCTATTCGTTTTAGAGATTGTAGCTGTAAAATCTGTCTACAATTCTGCATGATGTGAAAAATGAAAGTAATTATGATTACTAATGATGATTTAATTGTATAGTTAAATGTTTATTTCTAAATATTTCATGCAAATAAGTGCATAATTAGGAAAACAAGTTACTTGGCCAGTTAATCAGGTTTCGTTTTAGTCTTGTTGTTTGGGCTAAAATGTACTCCAGGATGTCATCTGTGATTTGGAATATTAAAAAAAATGCTTAAGGGTGAGCCTTTGGAAAGCAATGTCCCTACATTGCCAAGCATGGAGTGGGATGTGTTTGATGGAAAGAAAAGCTTGGAAAACCTGAAACATGAGAAGAAATCAGAAGGAGAGACGATTTGAGGCGTAGAAGCTGTGTGTTCAGAGTGGCTAGCCAATTGAATACAAGTACTCTCCAGACCTGGGCTTGAAGAGTCTCTATATGATCGTCCATTCTGTTTGTCTGTCATATTGCTGGTTGAGCCATTTTCAGAGAAAAGCATCATAATCAAATGGCAATCCTGTGTACTGTCAGAGAGGAGGCAAGCCACCTCTCCATACACATGCTGAAATCATGAAAAAAAAAAAAGGTTAACCACTGAGATATGGGCATTTATCAGTGACAATATAAGCTCTACTCAAAAACCTATAGAGCAAGATCACTCTCACTCTAAAAAACTATGATAAAACTATGTTGTTACATATACCAGAATTCCCTGGTGTTTTCAGTTTCCGTGGACGTACTTTTGTGAAGCCAGATTGGTATCTGGCTGCAATAAAACAAATAGAATAAATTAAATTTGTAAGAAAAGATAGCTAGATAGGTAGGCAGGTAAGGCACTAGGCACTGTTTTATGAGTAATATTCACATTACAAAATGCTTAGCATAATGCAAGAAGTAAAATCAAGTCTTAGGAGGCTGAGGATATAATCATAATGCAAATACATGATGAAGTAAGTCATACATTAAAAAGAAATTTCAATCGAGAAGCTATGAAGTTCACATTACATATGACTATAACACAATGCACTAAACAAACATACTGAAAATCTAGAGGTCTCTGAAAGAAAAGGGTATTTTATAAAATAGTAGTTAATTTAAAATTCAGACCTGAGAGTTTGAAGAATGCAAGTGAAGTTAAAAGATAATGAATTGTACCACATATAATTTTATTAGCTAAGGTCAGTAAAACTAGTAAACATACATGACTTATATAAGAGGGTTGCTGGGAAAGAGTAAAGGAAGGTCTGACATTGCTCAGGAAGAAATGTCCTCATTACCTGGCTTATGAAATGGTAATTCCTCTGTACATCACCTTAGTGATAATTAAAATTAAAAATAAAACAGAAAGTAGAAATATTCATAAACAAAAACACTATTACATGCATTATGGGCCAACATTTTCTTAAAATGAAAATAGCCCATGCATTGCTTAAGGGAATCTGGAATGAAATCTGAGGTCGGTGTGTTCTTTTCGTGTTATAAGGCATTGTTTACATGACTAGCAAACATCCCACTTACTTAGAATGAGGAGGAGGAAGCAGACAGGAGTGTTTATGCATTAGGCTCCCACCCCAGCCATACAAGGAGCCTCTTTCTACTTCACCTGGAAGTTCAGCTGGTGGAGGTACTGTTAGCTCTTCCACTCACCCAGGCCCCCTCAAGCTGGTGAGCCTTCTCTTGGTGCCCACCCACCCTAAGATGTGAACAGATGCCCAAATTCATGGCCTCCTTACAGCCCAAATCTCAGGAAGTAAAGAGAAGCCAGGCAGACTTAATGCCTCTTATTTTCAATGACAAAAGTTACTAAATAGAATTTAATATAGAGGTAGTGTCAATTGTTTTTTGGACAGCTTCTTTTTTTTTCCTTCCCAGATTGTCCCCACCCAGCACTATCTTCTCAGAATATCCTCTGTGCCTCTATTTCTTTACAACGGAATAAAAGTGGATGCCTTATATTTTCATAGATATTAGAGGATGCTATATACATGCAAATCAAACACAGCAGTTAATCCAAGTAAGTTCAGCTGAGGTAAACGCTACACACTATTTGGCTTAACGAAAGGCAACTAAGATTAAAGTAAGCCTTCAACTCGTTTAAATCTCTCCCCTAAGCAAATACTTTGCTGATTGCAGTATTCTCAGGGTATTTGATAAAACATTGCTCCATCCATAGAAAAGCAGACATTTGTGAAGGTAATTGCCAGAGATTTTATAGTAATTCATAATCACTATCTGGAACCTTAATGTAAACTTACATGCACATTTTTGGTGAGCTGTGTAATCTTATATTCCAAAATGGGGGGAAAAAAGCCGCCTTTTCAATATCTGAGAATGGGTCCACTAACTGGAAACAAATAAATCTTACTGCAAATACATGGACTTTTTATATTATAAACAAACTATAAATTTTACTACTAAGGCATGGAATTTTTATATTAAAAATCAAACAAAGGAATTTTCCTATCTTATCTGCTTCTCTTTCTGACTGACTTTCGCATACACATAGGTACAGGGACATTCTCTCTCTCTCTCTCTCTCTCTCTCTCTATCTCACACACACACACACACACACACACACACACACACACACACACACACACAGTACCTCAAACTCCCAATTAAGTGTGTTTTATCCTCTGGAACATTAATATTAGCTTCAGAAAAAGTATAGTCAACCCTTCTCCAAACAGAGTAGGTCTACATTTGTACTTTTTAAACTAGCTTCTAGAAGCTGCATCCCAAGCTTAATAAATTTATATTTCATTTTCAAATCATAGTCTCTAAAATCCCTTTGTATAAGACTCACATAGTTATTTACAGCTTCTGGTAAATGGAACACACACACACACACACACACACACACACACACACACACACACACACACACACACACACACACCAATTTCTCTTTAATAGAAAGACAACCCCAACAGATGTATATAGCATATTAAAATTTGCCATAGAAATGCAGTGCATGAGAAAATGAACCAGTGCCCATGCTTACCACACATTACACGGCCTACTCTCTGGCTTCACAGTGGGATGAGACAGAGAAATACAAGTAAGTTCATGAAGCAGTCATGTGACCTTCTTACCCGCCAAGCAGTCTGGTCCAAAATAAGAAGCTATAAATTTCTTCCTCATTAAATACTTAGACATCTTCACAGAGAGATTTAATAGACAAGTCCTCTAAACCTTGTGTTTAAAAGTTAACCAGAGCTATCTCTCTAGAGTCCTCAGAACACATTTTCTGTCCAATATTTAACCACCTGTAAAACCTAAATTTTAATTTACAGAGAGGCAATTACAACTCATCTCCCAGTGTTTGGTTTGTATGTTCTTGCTTTTTGGTTACATTCTTATGCATTCTGCTAAACGTCCAAGGCCACACATGCCAGTTTTTAGAGATAGTTCTAGGTTCTAATAAGGCATATAAAATATAGTCAATTTGAAGTACATTTCTTCCCCAACTTGGTGAATAATGTGTTGGAATGTTTTCTTCAGAGCTTAGATTGGAGGGAACTTTCTTTCTCATATTTTTACAAGTTCTCCACCTCTATTCCTGCCTCTCTATCTCCAAGAAGACCACCGCCTCTCGTCACCTAGCCAGAGTTGATATCACAAGGCAAACATTTATAGTCCAGGAAATGCCCAGGAAAAAAAGTGTTAATCAGAAGTCTAACCTCCAATTATCACTAGGACAAAAGCCCAAATTTTCAAACAATTCTTCCAAGAAGGGATTTGTTCTTCATTTTTGTAGGTACTCCTAACTCATAGCTATATGCTTTTCAGTGCAAACTATTTCTTTCCTGTGAGAAATACACCTGTATGAGTATTGCAGCATTGTTGTCATTAATTGCTTTACCACCCATTTTCTTCTCAGAGATGTCAGTGAGATCTGGGTCTGGGAACAGCCACAAATCCCTCAGTATTTTTAAGCCTTGCCTGCAGGCTGATGGCAGTCTCTTAAGCTGCCCCTGATTCATTCTCCATCACTCACCAGAATACAGAGGGCTGCTGTGACCACTACAAAAGGATGGTCTTCTCCTGCAGAGATTGATCTCAGCTAGCCAAGATTTTACTTTCATTTCTAATAGCAGAGTTTAGAGTCTTATTTTTCCCCTCAATCGCAACAACCCTGTAAGTCGTATCTTTACACCTTCTGTAGATCACTCTGATCCATCCTAATATAAAAATGCATTATTAATATCTACCTTTAATGTATTCGTTTGCTCAACAGTTTGGGAAACAAACAAAAAGACCTTCATCTGGCTTATATATACCCTCTACTATTGCTTGTTTCTTCCATCTTGCCTAGTCCGCCATATACCCACTTTGCTGTAGCTATATTGTATTTGTGCTAATACTAGGACTTGAACGAAGGTTCTAATACTCTCTCTTGGCTTTTTTCCCCTTAAAGCTATTGCTCTACCACTTGTGTCACACTTTTAAGCATGTTTTGTGTTTGTTGGTTGGCTTACTTTTTTTTTTTTTTAATTTTATTTTATTTTATTTGAGAACATACTGTACAGAGGGGTTACAATTACATGGGCAGGATAATGCATACATTTCTTACCAAGCATTGCAACCTCCTCCTTTGTTTACCCTTCACCTCCCTTCCCAGCCTCCCCCCTCCCTCCCACCCAATCATACCCCCCCCCCACCCCTCCCCACCGACATTGTAAAGCTGGTTTTGACATGACATTTTGTACTTCTCATTGTTGCAACAGGTCCACCTGAATCCTTAAACGACTTGTTTGTCCCCATCTCCTCCACAGGTTATACTGACATCAAATATAGTGAAAGCGGGGGTTACACTGTGGGGGAGGGACATACAAAGCAACCAAGAAATAATCTTATAAATGCGTTAGAAACACATGCATGAAAGAAACAAAAACATTAAAATACATATTTGAGGTTTCGTTTTCCTAACATCACATTATCTGACTTTTTCCGCTTGACTCATACCTATACTAGATATTGCAAATAAGGGAAACCATGGGACCTATGTTTCTTTGGGCCTGGCTTACTTCACTTAATATAAATTTTTCCAAGTCTTTCCATTTCCTAACAAATGGGGCAATGTCATTCTTTCTGATGGAGGCATAGAATTCCATTGTGTATATATACCACATCTTCTTGATCCATTCATCTACTGAGGGGCATCTGGGTTGGTTCCATGTCTTAGCTATGGTAAATAATGCTGCAATAAACATAGTTGTGCTGGTAGCTTTAGTGTGGCCTTGTTTGTGATCATTTGGGTAAATGCCCAAAAGTGGGATTGCTGGGTCATTGGGGAGCTCTATGTGGAGTCTTTTGAGGAACCTCCATACTGCTTTCCAAAGTGGTTGAACAAGTTTACATTCCCACCAACAATGAAGTAAGGTTCCTTTCTGTCCACATCCCCTCCAGCATCTGTTGTTGTTAGAGTTCTTGATTTTTGCTGTTCTAATTTTGTTTTTTTTTGCTGGTTAACTGAAGAGTTTCACAAACTTTTCTGCTGGGCTAGCTTTGAATCTTGATACTCAGATCTCAGCTTTTGGAATAGCTAGGGCTGTGGATGTGAGCCTCCCGCACCTGGCTTCTTATTCCCTTATGTAGTTCCACTAAATAAAATGAGGAAGATCTTTGTCCCATTAATGTAGAAAGTTGCTTCAGGGAAGCACTGTGGTTTCACTCAGGTAAATGTCACTCTGAGCTCTTCCATAATCTGCCCTAAGTTTAAATCCACGCTGGCTGTCCCTAGCTGCACTGCACATACCTTGTACACAATGATTTTGCTTTTCTGAGGAGGAGGCTATAAGGACATTGCATCTACCCCTTTTTCAAATCTTTTAATTCAAAGGAAATTTGAGAGGAGGCAGGGTTCTAAGAGTGAAGTACCTTTTTCAGCTATAATGATAGATGATGTGTGAAAATATGTCACAAAAAGAATAAAAGAATAGAATTTGGTTCATGTTTGCTTCTTCTACAGATGCTCATATCTCCTCTCTGTGTCTGTGTCTGTCTATCTGTCTCTCTCTCTCTCTCTCTATGTCTCTGTCTCTCTGTCTCTCTCTCTCTCCCTCTGTCCTGGGGTTGGAACTAGCTTTGTGTTTGCTAGGCAGGTGCTCAACCACTTGAGCTATGCTCTCAGACCTGTTCAATTATTTTTTAGATATAGGCTCATACTTTCTTCCTGAGTCAGCCCTGAAACACCATACTTCCACCTTCACCTCCCAGATAGCTAGGATTAGAGACAAGAATAATCCTGACAGACTGGTTCATTAAGATAGTATTCTGCTGTTTTTGCACAGATTAACTTCAAACCAAAATTCTCTCATTTCTGCCTCTAGGCACTTCTGATTACAAGCATGCTCCATAGCACACTTATTTCCTCTTTTAATGACATTGTAGTCAGAGAAGTTTGATTAATTTACAACAGTTTGAAGTATTAATTTCTTTATAGTAGTGTAGTATGGCTACTTAAATACACAAAGAATTAGTCATTTGGAATTGAAGATATCTAAACAGGATGGGTAAGAAGACTTGAAGAGAAAGATGTAAGTTAAGAATTGTTTTGTGCTCTAGAGGTTTAATGCTGGTTCTAAAACAATCATCCATTCCCTTCAAAGTACTGCACCAAACAGGTGCATTAAGAAAGTGAGAAGATGAAGAATACTAGCTATGAATGCCTCATGTTGAACTTAACGTTGGTAAAATTCAAGTCTTGTTAGATCAATGAAAACACTGTACCTCCACTTTCCTCGCTGCATGATATTAAGGCACTTAGGCAAATATCTCTTTCAGAGTATAACTTCAGTGCATAATTTGGAAAGGAAATCCATCATCTAGTTCTTTTCTACTTTCTCTGGATTTTTTTTGGCATTTTCAAGCATAATGCTTTACCTAAAAACCCTTCAACGCACATATTATAAGATTTCAGGAATTAAGGCCATATTCTGAGACTTCTACCTATTAAAAAC